ATTTCCTAGCTCTTAATATTGTTTCTGTGACAGAAAAAAATACAAGAAAGATGATTTATAAAAAAGACATAATTGCCGAATAAATATCACACATATTCAATTGGTGATACATACCAAGGTCAAGTAGCTTCTTATTTATAATTATTTTGATAAATGTTTCTTGAAATCCATATAGTTGTGCAATCCTGAGAAATAAAGTAGTTAATTCCATGGTATAAATAGCTAGTTGTCCCATTTTCATATAAAATATTTTGACAACATACAGAAATAAAAATTAAAACGTTATATATTTGTAACTGGCTTCAAACTTTTACTCTAGGGTTGCTTGAAGATAAAATGACATTACTAGTGGCTGGACACCAACGCACCACATCAAGGCTACGTCTAAACTACACCCCTCTGTCGGCAGAGGGATGTAAATTAGACGTATCGAAAGTGCAAATGAAGCGGGGATTTAATATCCCACGCTTCATTTGCATAATCATGTTCTGGTGCTATTTTGAACAAGTGACATTTCGAAACTGAAACCGCAATTTAGATGTGGTTTTTCCAACAATGGGGCAATCGTTCAAAAAATCGCCCCGTTGTCTCCTAAAAAAAAAAAAAACCCAAAAAACTAGGAAAACAGGATCTTTCGAAACGGGGCATTTCTGTCAAAAATGCCCCGTCTAAAATGCTGTTTTTTTTTAAAAAGCCCCATTTCAAAAAAAAGTGGCCGCCGCCATTATGCAAATGAAGCACGGGATATTTAAATCCTCGCTTCATTTGCACTTTCGATACGTCTAATTTACATCCCTCTGCTGACAGAGGGGTGTAGTTTAGATACGGCCTAAGTGAGGAAAGGATAGGATACTGATTGAAATCTAAAATCAGAAAACAGCAATAAAGAACCCCCAATAAAAAGAAAAAAGTGTTTATCCAATTAACTGAGGAAAAACACTAAAAATGATTCCTTGTATCCAAGGGAATGGTAATGCGAACTACAGGGATATGATCTCTAAAGGAAAATGTGTTGTGCATCAATTGGTCCATACAGACCACAGAAAATTTCAGCAGTTACACAGTTACATGCATGCAGCAGGTGGCTCCTCATGAGTACTGGCTCCCACCTGCCCTCCCTCATGCTGCTACCTCTGATATGTTATGCAGTCATGAAAAAAGGTGTCTCCATGAGACACACACTCTCAAGAGATACTCCATCCTATGAAAGTTTGAGAACCCCTGATCCACAACATAGTGTAATAATGTACTATGCAAAAGGGTGATACAAAACCAAAACAGGACACTGACCATTTAAAGGGGAAAAAAGGCAAAGATTATTGTACTTACTGGGATCTTAGTTCTGTGCCAGTGATGATTAATTTAGTCTCCAGCATTTTTTTTCTGGTCTGGTGTAAATATTTTAAAAAGTTATGGTACTTAAGGCATTTTCTTAATTAACATTAAAACAGCCACAATTTCTTTATTTCCAGACAAAAACTATGGTAATATAGCATTAAGACTGAGAGAACACAAAGTGATGATTTACAGGGATGCTGTAATAATCCCCAAAAATTATTATAGTGCCAGAAAATTCAAAGTTAAGGTTAACTCATATCCAAATAAGTTAAGCTACACAAGTGCACAATTAATCACCTTAACATTGCTATTTTTTCATGGCACAGAATATTCAGGTTATAATTAAGCCTATTAAAGTTTGTGGTCTTAGATTAGATAAACGCATATTTGATTGTAGCATCACTACGAGGAAAAACAGAGCAGAGTTAAGGTTGTGTTTTAACTTTGCTTTTTAACAATTTAACATTCCCCTGCACCCATACCATACACCCTATTGAGCAGAGCTGCTTTAATGCATAGGTTTTTTCAAATTAAATTTTACCATTTAGGTTCCCCCACCACCAAATATTTTTCATGATTATTTATCTTTCAGCAGAGGCTGGCACATAAAATCTTCTTTAGAAACACTAAGTACTGCATCTTTCAAAATGGACACCATTGTTCACTATGAATAGGAGTACAGACTGTCTTCACCAGTGATGGAAATGCCTTCTATTGTTATTAGTAGAAGTGAGGTGATAAGTTGCATTTTCACAATCAAGACTGCACTACAGTACTTGTATACGGGGGGGAAGGGAGGCATACAAGTAAGACACTGGCAAACTGGGGGAGGGGCGCTGAATGTTGCCAGCCACCATCCAGGAAGATTCCTGTGCTGGTGCTGGACAGGGTGATGTTGGACAGAATCCCCATTCCCTTGAGCCTCTGCTGAGGTCCAGGTGCTTCCCATCCCTTCCGTGCAGCTCCTGCAAGGAACCTGGGGCCTCCCTTCTTCTCCCTATGTCACTCCTAATGGGGGCCAGAGGCTTCCCTCTCTCCCTCCCTGCCTGTGCTGCTTCCCTCGCCCCCTCCTGCAGCTTACTGGTACTTGGAGGCTTCCGTGGGGCCAGAGCAGAGCTGCAGAGGCTCAGGGCTCCTCTCTGTAGCCAGTCTGGCAGAAGGAAGTGCTCTGCTGGTTGACAGCAAAATGTGGGGGAGGGAACAGAGAGAAGGCCTGCGGCAGCCCTGGACATACAAGTGCACAGACATTCTGCGCAGCCCTCATCACCTCTGCTGGGCCCAGGGAACCAACCCCTTCAAATGGGGCCAGAGCAGAGCTGCAGAGGCTCAGGGCTCCTCTCTGTAGCCAGTCTGGCAGAAGGAAGTGCTCTGCTGGTTGACAGCAAAATGTGGGGGAGGGAACAGAGAGAAGGCCTGCGGCAGCCCTGGACATACAAGTGCACAGACATTCTGCGCAGCCCTCATCACCTCTGCTGGGCCCAGGGAACCAACCCCTTCAAAGAAGAATGGCCCTGGCTGTCCCCCCCCCCCCCCCCCGTCCCCCCCCCCCCCGCCATGAATGGTCTTGAGGACCTGCTGCTGCCCAGCCAGTGCTCCCCCAGCCACTGTGGGTGGCTCTGGGGAGCCCCCCCGCCACCTCCCAACTCCCTGCCCTGAACTGGAAGGGATCTCGAGAGGTCATCAAGTCCAGACCCATGCCCTCATGGCAGGACCAAGGACCAAGCCTTGAGCCACTCCTCGCTACTGATCCCTCACTCCGCCTACCTCCATACTAGCCCCCTGCCCTTAGCCCATTCTCATCCCCCCATCTCTCGACCTGATCCCCTCCTCACCCTGATCTCTCACTCCTGTTCCCTGCCCCCACCCCCTGCCCCCTGCCCTGAGACATTTCATATCCCCAGTCCCTCACTTCAACCCCTATGGCCCTATCCCCCTGCCCTAAGATGCCCTCACCCCCAGCTCCCTGCCCTGATTCCTATACCATGCCCTGATTCCTGCACCCTACATCCCCTGCTTTCAGTATCCCCACACCTCCCAATCCAATGCCCTGACTCCTACACCCTCCACACCATGCCCTGACTTCTGCATCCCTCTTCCCCCGCAAAAAAAGTTAAGGGTACATCTGCTAGTATTTATAATAAATTTCAGTTGGTTTAAAATGTGAATAAGTGTGACTTTTTATTAATCTAGTTAATTTGTTTTGTGATAACTGCTTGAGTTAACAGCAATTAATTGACAGCCCAAGTAAATACATTTGTCAAAGAAATGTCCTTTACATGATAAAAGACAGTGTTGTTTTGGGGTTACTAACTGGGCCTAAATAAGGGTTTTGTTTATAATTAAAACTGTGATTAAACAAAACATAAAAAGAACAATATCAATGTATAGGCCATCCTTGCTATAAGTCCAAGATACATTCCAAAAAGTTTAGACTTACAGCAAAATAACTTAAAGTGGGGAACTTTTTTGCTGTGGCTTAAGAGTGGGGAATGGGAGGACTTATAATGCATCAGTTCATACAAGTGTCAACGACTTTAGTGAGGAATGGATGTATACCAGGGCAACTTATAGTGGGGACACCCCGTACAATAAAAGTTTTGTTGTCTGGCATGTTGGAGGAATGGCGCATGCTGGATAGTCAAATATTCTAGTTAACTAAACGTCAATCAGAACAATGTGGGAGGGGTGAGAGGTCTGGGAGGGGGACGGTGTGGACTCCAAGAGATAGTTCAGTGGTTTGAGCATAGGCCCGCTAAACCCAGGGTTGTGAGTTCAATCCTTGAGGAGGCCATTTAGGGATTTGGGGCAAAAATTTGTCAGGGATGGTACCTGGTCCTGCTGTGAAGGCAAGGGACTGGACTCAATGACCTTTCAAGATCCCTTCCAGCTCTAGGAGATAGGCAATCTCCATTAATTTAATTTAAAGGGGGGGTCAGGGATGAGGAGTTTGCAGCACAAGAGGTAGCTCTGGGTTGGAGTGCAGGAACGGTTTGGGGTGCGAGATCTGGGCAGTTCTAACCTTGGGTGGCTCCAAGCCAGCAGGATACCATGTCCCTGCTGCTTCTAGGCAGAGGCATGGATAGGCAGTTTGAGTGCTGCCTCAGCTTATAGGTTCTGCCTCTGCAGCTCCAACTGACCACAGTTCCAGGCCAATGGGAGCTGCGGAGCTAGTGCTCAGAGCAGAGTGGGATAGTGCATGGAGTCCCTGTGGGTGTTCCTCCATCTAAAAGCATCAGGGGTATGTTGCTGCTTCCGGGGAGCGATATGGAGTCAGACAGGAAGCCTGCCAGCCCTTCACCAACTAGATTATAAACCAGACTTTCCAAGAAGATCAGAAATGCTGATTTATAGAGCCTTCAGGTTGGCCAAGTGCTGGACAAAACAGTTTTTACTGTATTGACAACTTAAGATGTTTTATAGAAGTAGTAAAACTGAATGAGCACTATTTTTAATTTGAATGGTTAGATCAGAAAAGATCGTGTTAAATTTATTTGATTTTTCTCTATTCAGAATTTTTTCAGAATGACCCTAAAGAGGGAAAAGTTACAATGTGTTTTATTTTTTTTCTAGATAGTTTTATGGCTGAACTGAATTGCCCTCCTCCTCCAACAGATTTAGCTTAACACAAATGAAATGTTTTGCATCACATACAGAATTAATGAAAGTTTTATGGCATCTACTATAGATTTTAGTTATGCTTCTTTTCATAACTTTTATGCACACAGACTTACTTTTTGCAACCTACGAGGTAAAGCCACTTCAAGTGTTGCAACCCCTGTTGCCCTATAAGCTTCATTTCCTGTTCCACGCTCAATTGCTTTACTTCTTATTTCTTCAAGTATGCTCTCTGTTTCATTTTCACTGAGATTCAGCGTGGCTGAATATTTCTGTGCAAGCTCCTAACAAAAAAAGTAACAGAAGATACATTAGAAAAACACACAACAGTAAAATGTGTCATGTGTATGAAATATAGGTGAAAAAACTTCAGAACAGTGAGGCAGAGTACGTACCTTCAATTCCAGACCAGCTTCTTTATTTTCATTTGTGTACGGAGGTTTCCAAAGCTGAATTTTGTCTTCTCTTAAACAATTTTTAAGTTTTGCTGCAAAGTATTTCTTTTGCGCCATTCTTTAATACAAAACAAAACAGGATTTTTTTTAAACTAATCTTTTTATATGGTTGTTTCTCTGATGAATCAGAAGACCTTGTTTAACTCAGGCCCAGATCCTGAAAGTTATTTATGATAATTATGTAATAATTAGGAAAAGTTTTCTGTTTAATTTTTTTTTCTTTTTATTAAACCAGCTGCATGGGAAAATGGAAATGTGTTGGCAAGTGCTGATTTCAGCAACATAATGACTGCCAGGAAAACATCAGTATTGCAGTTTAATATAAATAGCCAAACAAGTGAAGTATAATGTGAAACCATTAGAAGAGCTGAAAGCATTTCTCTACACATTTCATTTAAATTCGGAGATGGAAATCTGCTGACAATTCTACAATGTTTTTTTCAGTTTGCTTATACAGTAAAACTCCGATGGTCCGGCATCTGACGGTCCGGCTCTCCTGATGGTCCAGCACCATCAGGAACCCGGAAGTGCTCCGGGCAGCCGGACCATCAGAGCTGCTCTGCCCCCAGCTTCCCCCATTCAGCCGCGGGTA